GAAGATAACACATCAGTGTTTTAATAACGTTTTGATTCAGAAAAGGCTTTCCCACTCAAATCATATTCATTAGGTCAGGTACTGCCTTTAGGTACATAACACAATCTTAAATAAACCACTTGCCACTAAACTTAGACTTCAGTGATGGGCATTTAGTATTACACAATGGATGAACAACTCCACTTCTTTGAGGAGTTCAAATGTCACACTTTTTTCTTGAGTAACAGAATTGGTGTTTCTAATTCTAAAATTGGTACTTTCATTGTTAGGGCAGATCTGAAAAATATGGCCAGATATCCTAAGATTAGTCATGCATATAAATGTTAGACATGGCCTGGAATTAGCAATTACCTAGTGTTGTTCACAGAGGAAAGTTGGCCTTTAACTTATTAGTAAAAACCATGTTAATTACAGTCCTCATATGATATTGAACTGATTGATAGACTTTGGATATAGGATAAGACTAGACAGAGCTTAAATTCTACTTTTGGCTTGCACATTTTCACCTTAAATGATTTTAGGAACATTACTTAGCATTCTCTGCCTTAGGTTCCTAACCAGAAATGAGTATACTGTCTACTAACCAGTAAAACCTTAGGAAATAAGATAAATTAAAATTTGCTTGAACTTTTATAAGAAGAGTATCAATATGATTTCTATCTCCAAAGTATTTTGATCAGGTATGAACTAACTATAGTGGCTTAGGAATGGTGCCCTTCGGTTTCACAGTTGGACTTAATTAAGTATAACTTTTATTTACTCATAAATGAAACTGGAACTTTAAAACAGACAAATTAGCCCTACATATGCTATTTTCCTTACGAAGGTAAAGTATTTCTGAAGTGGAAATTTTTACTAATTTTCAGGTCTGGACTTTTCTCCACAAAATTCCTTTTGGTTTAGTTTCCTTTAACCCTTCTCCTATGGAAGCAATTATGAAAACAGATGTTGGCTGAGGTGGGTGAGGGGACTAACGATGGCTGAATGAAGAAAACCAAGTTGGAAGAAATTAAGATGACTTTACAAAGGCACACGGAAAGGCAATATTTCCTCAAGAATGACTGACTGTAAATGGGATAATATCTATCTACTGAATACAACCATATGCTTAGAAGCATTTATCACTGTTCTGTAGGTCTTTTGTATTCTCTTCTATGTTTGCTGTGTCCAGGAGAGGTGCTTCAGTGGGACTACATTTTCAATAAATAACTTCAGCAATGCATGTGTAGTTCACACTTGACAGTGTCATTTCCATATATAAATTCTCATTTCCATGGCTATGCAAGTCAACCTATCAACTCATTGTAGGATGAACTTTGGTCTGCAGGTTGCCTTGGACAGAGCAAAAAGTATACCACTATCTGTTATTAAAATGGTTCCATCTGACACTGGGAGGCTGAAATCCCAGTGGCCCACTCTCAGTGGGCTCATACCCAGTGGTTGCTGAAGACTGTCTGCTTTGGAAAGTTAAAACTCACAATGTGGTCAAAACTTTCTTCTTTCAACAGGCTGATTTGAGGTATTCCAAGGGCTGGTATAACCAGTTCCCTCCTGCAACTGCAGAAGTGTCTTTCCAACCCTGAAGCAAGAAGAGGTGGTGTGGACTGAGACCTCAGACACCCTGGAGTTTGATACTCTGCAACACCGTGATGAGGTCAGGACTTTTATTATGGTCATTACCCATACTGAATTGTGTTCCAATAATACACACCTAGAGACTGTTGTAGAAAACAAACTTTGTTGCCTCAAATGGATTATTTTGAAACAGCATGAAATCTGTGAACATGATTGAGGATCTGAATTTCCAGAGAGGATTAGCATGCAAATATAGTTGAGATTTAAGGTGGCTGCATACCTGTGATTGACAGAAATGGCCAATAAGGCAGTAGGCCACGTCGCTGCTTCCTAATTAGCTCACGCCTATAACAGTCCTTCATTGTGACCAGCGAAAGAAGCATAGAGAGGCCATTATGCAGCCTTTTCTTTTTTTTGTTTGTAAAGTATTTAACTATGTAATCTAATAGAATGTTTAAGGCATGTCACCACAGTCTGTTCAGCTGGACTCAAAGTGGTTTTAATTTACTCAGCTTTGATTTTAAGGACACCTTCTCAGATATAATTGAACAAAAATAACCTGTCTTGAATCTTTTGAATTATACTGTCCTGAGACTGTAGCAGATATATATATATATATATATATATATATATATATATATATATATATATATGAGCTGTAAAGTTAATGTGACTGTCATTGGGCAGCTATCTCAGGTATACAAATGAATGCCTGTTCTCTGCTAATGGAGCCATAGAGCCACAATGAGGGAAAATAACTTCCTGAGTGGTTTTATGAAAGGAGAGCATATCAAAGTAGTAAAGGATTAGAAGAAATGGAGTGTCTTCAAATGCAAATTTCTTGACATTTCACAGCTACTAAAATAAGTACCCTACCATGGTGAACTATTAATAACTTAGTTAAAGGTTTCATTTAGTATAACCAAATGTAATGCAAAAGGCACATACTGTGATAAACACCATTTTTATTTTAGGGCTTGCTAAGGGTGGATTTTCTCTCTTTTCTTTACCCCACACATCAGAATGCCACGAGCAATCAGATGAAATCATTTACGTGAAGTGGAAAGGTAAGAGTATACAGCAGCGCTGTGCACATCCAGTGCAAGTGGTATCCCCATTCTGAGCACTGAAGAGAGGGGCCTTGATATTTCCAAAGAGTAATTGTTCTTTCAAACTGCTGAAGTATCTTTTGTTGCATTAAACAAGTTTATTTAATGAACATTTAAAAACTAAAACCATTTCACTTTTATGTATCAATGGGAAAACTACACTGAGCATCTAGAAAGCTTAAAGGAAACCTTTTGAAATAATGGTGTGTCTTTGAATCTCTTAGTATTCTGTGTTGGGTACTTGGTAAGCACTCTGGAAATCAAATAGGAAAAAAATCACCTAAGGGCATAGGAAAACTTTTGAGGAGTAATTTGGGAATATGAATCAAATACCATAAATCTATTTATATTGCTTAGACCCAGTAATTTTACCTTAATGAATTTAGGCTAAAAATCTTAAATACTGAGAGAGGCTTATGCACCGAGATGTTTATTACATCATTATTCATAATAATAAATTAATTAGAAACATTCCTCTTTTGTTGAGTATTAACTGAAAGGAACATTATACTACCTAAAAAATAATGCATGCCAATATTAGGTAGCAATGTAGAACATTCCTATGATGTATTAGGAGTACAAAAAGCCTAATATAAAATTATGTGTGTAGTAGAATTACAATCATGTAAAAATCAGGATACATTTAAAAGACTGAGGATACATATGAAGGTGCTAACTAGCATATGCTGTGTTTGGATAGAAGTACTGTGGGTAATTTTCAGACCTTTTTGATTTTTCAAATAATCTATAATTTTTAAAAAACAAATTCTTGAATTTACTCTATTGTGCTTGACAGCTAGTTGTATTAAATTGAACTCTTTCTTTCCTAAAACCATTTCTGTGTAAATACGCTCATGAGGGTTAATTAGTCACAAACGGAAAACCAGTCTGACTGAAGTAAATAAACTCTAATTAATGTAGACCTCACCTATTAAAGATTAACAGAAATTCACAGATTTGAGATTCTTACAGTATGAAAAGCCCCAAATAAGTAACATGTTAGGACTTAACATTTTGCAATTATAATACTTTGTTTCATAGAAGTAGGTATATAACAAATGGTAATTTTCTGGTGAGCTTATTTTAATTAACTTTTTATATATAATTATGCAATTTGAAATTGTAAGAGCTAATATGTAATATATAAAGAGATATTACGTAAAAATATAAAAATATAACAATGCTTAAACAAACAAAAGAAGCTTATTTTTCTGGTCAAATTTGTGAAACACACAAATTGATTTGCATAGCATATTAGTTTCAGAATACAACGAAATACCACCATTTGTTTGTAATTAAATTTTTTAAATAAATTAAACATTTATGTGTAATTGACAATTAAAAGCAAAGGTAAGTAAACTTTTGCTCCCTCCACTATCATTTATGTAGCAAAGTATAGAAGGAATTGTTATATAATATTTTCCAGAAATTTTTTCTCCCTCTAAATGCAGCCACTAAAAATTACATATAAAATAACTAACAGAATCAGTTTTCTTGTTCTTTTTAAATGCAGCCAACTATTTGATGTACTTTTCTATGGACATTTTCAAACCAGTGCTTCAATTAATATGTTAATTGTGCAAACCTATGTCATCCTTAAAAAAAGAACTGAACATGATTGATTTCAAATGTCTTAAAAAGATCATGTTTTAATAATCAGGCTGATTCTTAAAAAAAAATGAAACGTTCTTCAACAGGCTTTTTAAATACATTGTTTTTCTTAAATATACCTGTTTTGTGGCTTGCTTTAATTTTAGATCCATTTGAAGATTTTCCATAAAAACATTTGGTGCCTAATTTTTATATGCATAAAACTTCAAAATCCACCACGTTCTGAGGGACTGTAATCATAAACTCTGAAGATAAAGCATACTTTCTATTTTCTAAGGAAAACAACTCATGCTTTAACTATGAGAAGGTAAGAAATACATTTTTTGTCTGATCACAAATGACAAAACATTAATTTTAGTTTTGGAGTTTTATTTGTCAAATTTAAGAAATAAATATAATTCGTTTCATGGACTTACTGTTATTGATATAAATGATATGAATTTTTATTCAATGTCTAATAAGAGCAAATAGGATACATTCATCTCTCCTATTTTGTTGACATAAATTGCACTTAGGATCATGTAGTAAATATTTGATAAAGTAAAAATGATTTCTGACAATCAATCAATCAGTCAATGTTTATTTAGGGCCCATTATATACTAGCTCTCTGAGATGCAGTGATAGCCTTGTTGATTTTCAATGTTTACTTCTGTAAATAGATTTTACATTTAAGCAATTTAAAAATAAATACTTAAACGACTTACCTTTGGTTCCTTGAGCTTGGAGAAAAATCCAAAAAACAAAAATAGCCCTTCTAGTTTCCAAATACATTCTGACTTTTGTGCATTGGTAAATCTGGTAACAATCATGGAATAGCCCCAAGTTGTTTTAAAAAAAAGACAGAAATATGGAAAATAATTAAATATTGATGCAAGCTGAGTGAGGATAACCTTCTTGATGAGGGTGCCAATTTATGAAGAACATGAAGCAGTGTCTGCTTCTGGAATAATCTGCTTATCTTTCCCTCAGGTGTAATCTCAGTTTAAGGGCCAGCTGGAGGAACCTTTATCTCATTAACCTTCTGGAAGAGCATCTGTCAGCCTAGCTCCAGGACCCCGAATGCCATTATAAACAAGTGTCCACAGACAGAAAGAATGCTTCTTTTCTTAGTTACTCACCTGTTACAGCGACACAGAGAGCCAGAGGAAGTGCTGCCAAATGTAGGAGAAGGCTGACAGTTAGGGTCAAATATTTTCCAAAATGACACCCACAAGGAACATCCACTGAGAGAGTTTAATTGCTATCTCTGTTAGTATGGCTACTCAATATGTGTTAGTCTCCAGAGACAGAAAGGCTCTTCTTGGAAACGTACTGCTTACTAAATTGCTTTCTTTCTGTCATCACATATAGATGATCTCTTTGTTTTTTTTTTTAAGCCTGGTTTTAATTTTTTTAAATTTGTTATTCATGCACAGAGTAGAGCCAAATAGTTGTACAAAGTTTGTGAAAACTGATACTGACATACCTCCATTCAAGGGCAATCATTTTTAATTCTTTAAGTTAATCCCTCAAGTATTCTTATTTTTTCCTGGAAATAGTATGCTTCTGTTACTATTTTTTCATTTTTCACCTTTAGAACATTATGAAATAATGAATATTGATAATACCTTCTCTTCTACACATACCCTCCCCACTCTTCATTAACATGTACTTGTCCTATCCCTTCATCTACCTCAGTATCACTGTCTTTTCAGTTTATTGTGTATCCAATTTAATATCATTGTGACTGTATACATGCTACACATAGTTGAGCCATAGAGTATCCTGTAATTATTAACATGTATTGAACTCTTATGTTGTGACAGACACTGTTCTTAGATATTTCCATAGATTATATACATTAGTTAATACAACATTATGAGGTAAACACTATGATTATTATGTGTTTTATATTTGAATAAATGAAAGTATATGGGCAGAGCCAGGATTTGAACCCAAAGAGACTGGTTTGGGAGCCTATACTGTTAACCATTATCTCCTCTGTTGCCATATGCAGTTGTCTCATTTGTTTCCCCTTTGTTATCTACATGCAAAACAATAAATTATCTCCAGATGTTACCCCAGATGTGTAAATTTCCTCTAAATATGGTTAAACACTTCAGGTAATATGTCTTCCCAGGACTTTCTGACCTGCTCCAGGATGTATTGTTTAATTTCTTGTTATAGTTCACAGCAGGCAACTGAAGATCTCCCTTCACAATCATCCTGGGGATTCCTTTCATCTTTCTTGTGTTGGATCCCATGTTTTCCAGATCCCATATTACCTCCTTTCTTAACTTAACCTTCTGTTTTAGCAGAGCACATACTTCAATGGATTACTGAAAGTTCTTGGTAAGTAAATTTGAGATCTTATGTTTGAAAATGGCTTCCATTTATCCTCATCCTTGATTGATAGTTTGGCTAGTGTTACACACTGAATGTTGGTGTCCTCCCAAAATTCATGTGTTGAAAACTAAACCTTAGTGTGATGGCATTTGGAGGTGGGGCCTTGGGAGGTGATTGGGTCATGAGGGTTAAGCCCTCATGAATGGGACTAGTTCCCTCATAAAAGAGGTGCCAGGGAGCTCCTTTGCTTCTTTCTTCAAGTGAGGCACAGTGACAGGCACATTTCAGTGAACCAGGAAGCAGTCTATCATCAGACACTGAATATGCCTGCAGTTTGATCTCAGAATTCCCAGCCTGTAGAACTATAAGTTTCTGCTGTTATAAGCCACTCAGTCTATGGTATTCTGTTATAGCAGCCTCAGTGAACTAAGGCAACTGGATATACACTTCTAGGTGGGAAATAATATTCACTTAGAAGACTGTAGACATTAATCCACTGTCTTCTAGGCAACTGTGCTGTTAAAATCTGGAGTCCCTATTGTTCTTGATTCTTTGCATAGGATCTTTTCTTCCCTGGAAGCTCACAGAAACTTTTCTTTGTCTCTAATGTCATGATATTGCATGGTGATCTTGCTAGTTGTGGGTCTATTTTAATCCATTGCACAGGACATTACAGGACCTTTAATCTGGGTATTTATGTTCTTCAGTTATTGAAAATCTCCTTTAGGTATTTGATTTTCACCCTTCATTTTTTATATTCTCTCTCTGGAATCCATATTATTTGGATGATGGCATTCTTTAACTGGTTTGTTAACTTTTAATATCTATGTTTTCCTCTATTTTCCTCTAACTCTTTGTGCTCTGATTTCAAGAAAATTTTCTCAATTTAGTATTTTAACCCTTCTTTGGTTTTTAAATATCTATTGTCATTAACAATTTCTGAGGAATCATTTTTGGTGGTTTTGTCTTGGATTTTATTTTTTTTTTGCTTTTTAATTTTAATAAGATACTGTTTTAGGATTTTAGGGATACAATTTCTTTTTTCCTTTTTTTCCCCCCAGAGCCCATATTTTATTTATTTATTTATTTATTTATTTATTTATTATTTAAAAATTTTATTTTAATTTATTTTTTTCAAATACATTTGTCTCTGCCTCCCCCCCACCACTTTCCCTTCCCCCATCCCTTCTTCCCTCCCTCAGCTCTTCCCCTTTGGTTTTGTCCATGAGTCCTTGCTATATGTTCCTTGACTTGCCCCTTCCCTTCCTTTTCCCCACCCCCCTCCCTCCTTCCCTCTTGTCTCTGTTGATTTCTTTTCCTTTCAGTGTTGCTGGTCTTATTTTCCTTGCATCTTTGTATTGTTGGTTAGGTTCCACTTATAGGTGAGATCATATGGTATTTGTCTTTCACCCCCTGGCTTATTTCGCTTAGCATAATGCTCTCCAGTTCCATCCATGCTGTCGCGAAGTTTAGTAGTTCTTTTTTCCTTTCTGCTGCGTAGTATTCCATTGTGTATATGTACCATCACTTTTTGATCCAATCATCTACTGATGGGCATTTAGGTTGCTTCCAACACTTGGCTATTGTAAATTGTGCCGCTATGAACATTGGGGTGCATAGGTTCTTTTGTATTGGTGTTTTGGTGTTCTTAGGGTATAGTCCCAGCAGGGGAATCCCTGGATCAAAAGGCAGTTCCATTTTCAGCTTTTTGAGGAAATTCCACACTGCTTTCCACAGTGGCTGCACCAGTCTGCAGTGCCACCAACAGTGGACTAGGGTTCCCTTTTCTCCACAGCCTCGCCAGCACCTGTTGTTTGTTGATCTGTTTATGATGGCCATTCTGACCGGTGTGAGGTGGTACCTCATGGTGGTTTTGATCTGCATTTCTCTAATGGCTAGTGATGCTGAGCATCCTTTCACATGCCTCTGGGCCCTCTGGGGATACAATTTCTTTGATCTCTTTAAAGGTATTTAAGTTTCAGAAATTATTTTCTTCTTAAGTAGTTTTTGTTTCATCCAAGCTGCACTTTGAATTTCTTTTTTTTTTCTATTTTTTTTTTTAGTGTAAGAAGCTTTTTTCAAATATCTGGTAATCCTTGGCTGACCATCCACTTACATTTAAGTCCGATAATAACTGACTGAAAGCTCTATGCATGAGATTAGAACTTGCCAACTGTGGTCCTCATGTAGGTTGATCTGGCTGGGCTACTTCCTTCCTAGGGTTTTAAGATAAAATACAAAATGCCTAGTTAAATTTAAACTTAAAGTAAACAACAAATAGTTGTTTTTAGTATAAATATGTCACAAATATTGCATGTGACATACTAAAAATTGTTTATCTAACACTCAAATTTAACTGGGTGTTCTATATTTTTATTTGCTTACATCTGGCCATCCTCTTTCTAAAATTCCTGAATTCAGTATCTTTAAATATTTCCTCTTCAAGTGGCCATATATTCCAGAAGGGACTACTAATCTCTTGGTATTAGGATAAAGACTAACTCTCAATGTATCAGTACACAAGCTGAGAAAAGTGTCTGGGACCTTAATATTCTTCTGTATATTTTAATTTAATTTTTGTGTTTTCCAAGAAGCACCCTCACTCTCACATCTTTTTATATCCAATAGTTCAATATTAAATAGCCCAATATTTAATAGTCCAAAGAATATTTTACCTGCCAGAAAATTAACCTTCAGCCTTCTGTTGGGTGGCCCAGAGACAGTTACATACATGAATAGAATGGGAAAGGGGATTTGGAGCTCTAATGAATTATTAGCTATTTCAATTTATTCTTTTGTTTTTAATCCAATCCTTCCATTAATTTACCACTATTTTCAGAGATACATAGAAAGTCTTTAAAATATATATTAATATATTAATATATTTATAGCATAAATATAATATAAATTGAGTTGTTTCTGAGCTTTCTCTACTGTCATTTTAAGATTACCCCTCTAGGTTTGTATTTTAAAACTTGCTTAAACTTACATGTCCAGCTTAATAAAATTATTATGAAGTGAAAACTAGTAATATACAGGTGAAAACAGAAAATATTACCAGCACTCCACCATGATCCCACCTCACAAACACAAACTTTCTTCTCCATTAAATGTACTTATTCTGATGTGTATGGTAATCATTTATTTGCTTTCCTTAATTCTTTTATTATTTAACTACACATCTGTAAGCACTGTAGTTTACTCTTGCCTATTTTACCACTATTTATCAAAAAGACTATCATTTTTCCTACTGTTCTAAAATTCCATTTTTATCATAAAATTTGTGTATATCATAAACTCATGTTGTTCCAACCCTTTTGCTCTCTCCTATTTTATTATATAGACTCATTTTTTATCTTACTATTTTCTCTTCAGCTGGATATAATGTATTGTCCTTAATTTTTGTTAGTTTTTTAGGTCCTGAGATTTCAATTTGGTTTTCTCAA